AGTAGGAGCTTTAAGGAAATTGCAGGCATGGTCTTGACTCTCAAAAGACTTGCTAATCAGTATGTGTCATAGTTGTTCAATTGTCCTGTTATTCACAGGCTCTCCCCTTCCTTTCTATTTTCCCAACATAGTCTTTTTCATGTGGATTGCTCTTGAATTCCAGAGGGGGATTCCTAAGTTTAGGACTGGACCCTATTAATAAACTCTGAGGAAAAACTTCATGTGTGATTTCATGTGTGGGTCTTGGACTGTTGTGCAGTTTATATGATGTAATTCTGCTGAATGTTAAAAAGTCCCTAGAACCTAGCGGTGAGCATTGGTGTGTGGCATTTAAGCTCAACTGTCCACCTGACTAGATTAAGAGACCCCTGGAAATGCGACTGAATCATGGAGGTGCCATACTTATCAGTGGATTAATCTACTGATGTTCGTAGCTGATGTGCTTTTAGGAGGTAGGGCCCAGTTGGAGAGGGTGTTCCTGTGAAGGGTGTATCTCTCTCTCCCTGGTGTTCTTCCCCTGGGTTCTGCTTCCTGCCTGCTGTGAACTAAGCATCTCTACTTCATCACGCCCTTCGGCCATGATGCTTCTGATTGGAGCCAGTAAGCCATGGACTGAAACCTTTGAAACTGTGAGCCAAAATAAACCCCTCCTCTTTTAAATTGTAGGTGTTGGTTATTTTTGTCCTAACAAAGGGAAAACTGACCAATATATGGTGGAATCTTATCAGTTCCTTGATTCATGCAAAATATTCAGATGCCTATTTTGTTTCAGGCTCTGTTCTAGGTGCCAGGGTTAGAACCCCACTGAGAAACCACCTACCCATTCAAATCTTTCTGGAACAGAAAATCCCTGACCATATGTATGCTGCGTGTCCTGAATGAAGGCATATGTAGATGCTTCTCATCTCACTCTCTGTGCTTGGGCCATTTCTTATTAAACTTCTTTGAGATCAGATCATTTTTTCCTTTTTGTCCTCTTAGGCACCTAGCATAGTGCTGAGCAACTTCCGAGGCTTCAAATGTCCATGCTTGATTGTGTGCTGTCCCCTAGGCTGGCACGGCACGCCCTGTCTTCGCCAGGTCCTGGTCCTCCTCTGTTCCCATCTCAGTTGTCCCTTCCTCCTACTCTGGGCCATCAGAATTGAGCACCTGCACATTTTAATTTCCTTTTTACAGACACATCTGCCATCCCTCCCGGGTTCTGAACATCTTAAGAACAGCTTCTTTGTCACCTTGTCTGCAATCCCTAGGCCCAAGAGCACAGTATGTTTGCCCAAAGAATATAGGTCGGGTCCCTGGAACCTAATGGTGAGCAGTGGTGTGACATGAATTGCTTTATGCAGAGGGATGCTAAGTCAGGGCATGCTCTGCTTCCTCTCTCTTGTGATTCTTTGAGAAGTTCAGCATGAGCATTGTCATGGACAGAGGAAGTGGGCTAGATTTAGGCAGTGATGATAAAATAAAAGTGGCATGGAATGTTCTGGTCAGTGGTATCTTTGAAGGAAAGTTAGAAATTTGAAGGTCTGTGGTTCTAGCTCAGAGCCAGAAGAACTCTGAGAAATCTGGTTTTTATTGCTAATGTCCAACTGTAGTCCAGAGAAACTGGGGCTTGAGGTGATTTCCCAGATAATTAGTTGCAGAGAAAAGGGAGTCTGGCCTTCCAATTCAGAGGGCTTTTCTACTATTCTGGGACTGTCACTTATGACAGATAGAGAAACAAAGGCACAGAGAAGTGAAGTAACTTGCTCCAGATCACAGAGTTGTTAAGTTCAGAGCCTGGATTCAGATGTGGATCTTCCTGATGATGGAGGCCAGCTTGAAAGCACCAAGCTGCATGGTCTCTTCTTGGAGACTATGAAATGCAGGTTCTTAGCACATTTTTACTTTTCTTCCTTTACCAACTGTGAAACATTATAGAAAAATTATATTATTAAAATGCATTCTTTCTTGAAGTACAGTTATAGTTTCATAAAAATATTTATATTCTTCAAATATTGTTTTAAAAGTCCCTGGATTATTTACTGCGAGTATATATACATAGTAAACATAGATAAAACAAAAAGGTTTCTGTTTTTCTCTACCATTAGATTAAAAAAACTCTTATTTGTTTCTATTGTGCTTCATGTGAAAGAAATATTTTACAGCATACTGCAATGAATGAAAATCCAGTTTTCTAATTTCATGAGTCCCAGAATTATAATCAGTGAATTTAATTAGGAAATTCTAACCTTCACAGGTTTCACATTCAGTTCTTGCTAACATTTGACATATCAGCTAGAAAGTAACTATATTACTGTCTTAGAAGTGATGCTTTCTAGGCATAGAAAGATTAAATGACTGGTCTGAGTTTCCAAATGAGTTGATAGAGGAACCAAAAATAGCTTTTCTAGTGAATACTAGACACTAAAATTCTTAACATAGACTATCTGCATTCACTTAGCAGTTTACAGTCCAGCCTTGGAACATCAGCCTGTTTTAACTCACAGAAAAGCTTCTGTTTGTGGGAGGGGATGGCTGGGGAAAGACAAGAAAAGGGCCAAGACATTTGTTTCTAGGTCATTTCCAACCTTGCTATTACTTGTAGTTTTCTAGGTGGAAGGGAATATGCTCATTAAAGTGAAAGTGTTTATTTTAGAATAAAGCAATGGAATCCCAAAGGGCTCTGGTACATAGATAAATGAGCATACCTAAATAGACTCAAGTTTTATTTTTCATGCCCTGTTATATTCTGTATTGAGGCAATAGGCAACTCAGTAGTTGTTTAGAAATGAAACTGTGTTGTTCATCTAACTTTAAAAGGCACTGATTAGAATAATAATGAGTATTTCCATGTATTAGTCTATTCATAGAATACTGACATAGTACAGAGTAGAAGTAATAGAATGATTCTCTTTATCTCTTCATGTAATCTAATTTTTAAATACATTCTAATTCATAAATCATTAAAGCGGGCACATCATTCAAATAGGATATTTTGAACAATTACATTCTTAGCATAAATTAGAAATTCCCATTTCTTCCTCAACTTCCAACCAAAATTTGTTTTTATGGAATGACTTCTTTACCAACTTATTTTATTATAGAATCTTTCCTGAGTTTTAAATTTTGACTTGAATGGCATTTTTTGATTAAGAATGATATTTATAAAAGTTTCTTTGAGGAAAAGCCTATGAATTTCTTGCACATAACATAGCCAGGCTCTTAGATTAGTGACAACATTGTAAAGGACTTTTATGGTTTTATAGCATACTTTCTCACTCATCTTATTTGATCCTTACCTGTGTGGTACTCTGTAGAATTCATATTTTACTGTGGAGAGTAATTGTGGAGAGAGGTGTCTTGGCATGGATCTGAGCATCTAGCAGATGTTCAGTATGTTCATTTGAAAGGGAAATCAAAAAAGAGAACCCAACGGGTTATTTAACTTGCTTAAGGTCACACAAAAAGTATAATGTGACACAAAGAATTGAATTTGCCTCATTACTCATAAATTCTATCTACCCATCATTATCTCACTGTTATCTTTTCAGGCTTTAAAAAAGCCAAATTGAATACATTTATTTTTTTAAAAATTGTGGTGAAACTCACCTAAGATAAAATTAGAAATTTTTAAGTATATAGTTCAGTGGCCTGTAGCACACTGATAGCATTCTACTACCATCCCCTCTGTGTAGTTCCAAAATATTTTCATCAACCCTGAAGATCTCATATCTGTTAAGCAGTTATCCCATTCCCTCTACCTCTAACTGCTGGCAACTACCAATCTGTTTTCTGTCTTTATATATTATGGATATTTCATGTAAATAGATTCATAATATATGGCTTTTCCATTTAACTCATTCACTTAGCAGGTTTTCAAGGTTCATTCACAAAGGATACATCAGAAGTTCATTTCTTTTTATAGTCAAATAATATCCCATTGTATGGATGTAGATGTTTTGTTTATCCAGTCATCCATTGATGGGTATCTAGGTTGTTTCTACCGTTGGGCTGTTATGAACATTCAAGTACAAATATTTGAATATTTGTTTTATTTTTGAGGAGTTTATATGTAAAAGTGGAATAGCTAAATAATTGTGTGTTTAACCTTTTGAAGAACCACTAAATTTCATGTTGCCCATTTTACATTCTCTCTCTCTCTCTCTCTCTCTCTCTCTCTCTCTCTCTCTCTTTAAAGTAAAACTGGTTTAATTTTTGTTTTGGTACTGGAAATCAAACTTGGGAACTTGCTCTTGTGAGGCAGGTGGCAGCACCACTGAACTAAATCCCCGGCCCTCATGGTGACCATTTTAGATTCTTGACAGCAGTGTTCAAGGGTTCACATTTCCTTATGTCCTTGCCAACACTTGTTATATGAATTTTTATTTTAATGGATATTAAGTAGTATTTCATTGTGGTCTTGATTTGAATTTCTGTAAATAAGTATTCATGTTTTAAGACACAGAATTGATCAGAAAATGAGCTTTGGTAAGACAAAAATGAACATTAAAATTATTGACTTCATCTGTTTTCAGGAGATTATTTAAAATTGGCCTCTACTCAGTCAGGCATGATGGCACATATTTGTAATCCCAACTTCTTGGGCAGCTGAGGTAAGAGGATCACAATTTGAGGCCATCCTGGACAACTTAGTAAGACCTGCCTCAAAATAAAATTTTCAAAAAAAGAGCGTGGAAATATAGCTCAGCGTTCTCTGGGTTACATCCCTAGTAATCTCCCCCTCAACATCTATATATATCTGACATATATTCACTTTTAGGGCACACATCAGAAAGTAAAGAATTTTGGGATTAGAAAGAACACATGTGGACAGTAAGGCCACAATCATCCCTTTACTTTAAAAACATCTTAAAAAAATAAAAACATCTTTTAAGCTTATGAGTATTGTGTTTCGTTTTCATGGCACCTACCAAAATATGCTTAGTTCTTTGAATTTCATATCTTTACAAAAATAATATAATACATTTGTGTCTTGATGGTCTATTCATTTATTTTTCCAGTGTGAAAGAAGACACTCAAGATGGCTCAGGGATCCGGAGACCAACGAGCAGTGGGAACTGCTGACCCAGAGGAGAGTTCCCCCAATATGATTGTCTACTGCAAAGTAAGACATCTGGCCAGACTCTGGGCAGGCTGTCTCTGCATGTGCTTGTGTCCTGGGGAAGGGTTAACAGATAGTTGACAAGACAAATATTTTCTGCCCAGATTTCCTTGATTGATAAATGAGTGTTTTCTTCTCACATCTGATTATCTAATCTTACAATTCAAGGAAGTTATCATACTTGAAAACTTTTAAACGCAAAGGTTGCCTGAGCAATGCAAGTGGAGGTAGGTTCTTCATTGTAAAGGCCTTTATGGTATAAAGTAAGATTTATAAATCGAAAGTTCTTTGAACTCCTAGCGTGTATGAGATAAGGGCTAAATGCTAGAGACACAGAGGTATGTCTCTATTAGATGCTTACAGTTGGTAAGAGACATAAAAGGTACACCAAAGCTATAATAGAGTCCAATGTTAGTTTCCAAAATAGAGGCATAAGTGGAGTGTTATACAATCTCAGAGGGCAAGGTGAATTCTTCTAGCTTTGAAGGTCAGGATGGGCTTGTGAAGGAGTGGTCTTTGGACTTGGTTTTAAAGGATGTGTAGAATTGCTTTGTGAGAAAGCAAAGAGAAAGAAAATTTCAGGTAATGGGAACTGTTCAGCAAAGTCACAGAGCTGGAGAATGTAAGAAGCAGTGAGAACTTTAGTTTGGGCATAAGACAAATTACAAAGAGTAAATAGGTATAAGATTTTGGGGAGAACCAGATTTTAAAGTGCTGAATTATAGGCAGTTTAATCATGAAAATCTTGTGTGCTGAGAGTTGCCAAATCAGTATCTCTTGGGACTGATTAGAAGTCTTGCCCCAGTGTGCTAAATGGATTGTTATCAAGATAGGGTGGAGGCTCTGGGAGGATATTTCTGTTTTGTAAAAAAGGTGAGGGAGACATCAGTCTACCTGGGGGCGGTGCCTTTCAGAATTGAGAGGGACTGATGAGACTTGGAAACTGATGGAATATGGAATTAGGAGGCAAGTAGAAGAACAAATTTGACTAAATGTTTGCCCATGGGTGCTAGAAAGACATCTGTATTATTAATTCAAATAAGACCTTTTAGAAGGAGGACACATTTTAAAGGGAAATAAATATGGCACAAATTTATTCTTGTACATATTGAATTTGAGGAAATAATTGCTTCACATATTTGTGAAAATTTAACCTAATTATGTCACAGATTAATAAGGATATAACTTAGAGTTTATAGATTTTAATAAATATTTAAATCATTCTTTGGATTCTATGCATTTTGGAACCCTTTTTTTAATCTATGTTAGGCATATGGACAGTGTTGAAATACATATTCCTGGAGGAATATAATACAGTTAATTTTTCTATTATCTTCATGGGAATAGAATTCTGATATTATTATTTGAGTATAAAATTTCATTATTCTTTAGTATCTTAGAGATAATCCATCTCTAAGAAAGATGCTTATTAAGTTATATTAAAGAAAAAATACATCAATGGAGCTAAGCAATCAGTAAAGCATACATAATAATAGAAATATATTTATTCATCATTACCTTCTTCACTCGAAGCTGGGAAACAGGCCTAGGCTAAAATTGTAGCTGTACTGCATCCTAGCAGTGTGACCCCCAGTTATTTATTAAACTTTTATGAACTCAATCTTTTTAACTATAAAAAGAAAAAAAAAGCCCAGGGGGGAAGATTATTGTAAAGGTACATTTAGATACATCTCATATACCACTTGGCCTACAATGTGGTCCATAACAAAATAGTTCCTTTTATATTTAAGTCTTACAGAGAAAGCGACATTTGAAGAAGAAAAAAATTATAAGATATATTAATGTTGATGCTGTTAATAAGTCAACCAAAGTAATTTATATATGAGTGACTTTGTTAAGCACAAGAAAACTATA